ACGTGTTGCGTGTTTATGCTTAGGTTTGTATTCGTGCTTGCGTGCATGCTTGTAATAATGCACGTGTTGCGTGTTTATGCTTAGGTTTGTATTCGTGCTTGCGTGCATGCTTGTAATAATGCACGTGTTGCGTGTTTGTGTTTAAGTTTGCATTCGTGCTTGTCTGCATGCTTGTAATCGTGCACGTGTTGCGTGTTTGTGCTTAGGTTTGTATTCTTGCTTGCGTGCATGCTTGTAATAATGCACGTGTTGCGTGTTTATGCTTAGGTTTGTATTCGTGCTTGCGTGCTTGTAATCGTGCACGCGTTCCGCGTTTCTGTCCAGGTCTCGACGAAAACACGTCGCACGTCTCCGTACTGACCTCTTGCCGTCCGTATGCTCGATGTCCAGCCAGATGACGTCCATCGGTATGTCGTGCTCATCAAAGCCAGCGTCGACCTTCGCCACATCCTCCTCGTCGTTGTAGTTCCAGCGGCTCTGGTGATTGCCGAGGGCAAACAGCTGAAACAAGCGACGTAGCCGATACCACACGTGGCTCCCTCTACATACTCCGCCAAAGGAATAAATGTTTTTCCAGGAATTTTCTGGGAGTTTCGCGGAATTTGAACGGTGCATTTTTTTATTACTGAGATTGTAGCCAAATACAGTCCGCATGCCCTTGTATTATCTAATCAACGATTAGTGAACAAACTCGTTCGTGAAGCAAATTTCATTTTCAGAACTTTCTCGGACCAAAAATTATAGTATATTATTTTCCAGGAGCTTCCAGGACTATAGTCTACTTTCCAGAATTTTCCAAATTGGAATATAGCATTTCAACATTCTAGGGCTTTCCAGATTTTCCAGATTATATAAACCTGAGCTACTCTTCACCGTAGAACAATGGACAGGGAGGATGCTTTATGCAACTGAACTTATATCTACCATTTACTGAGTAAGGTAATGAAAATGTTGGCAGCTGTCAGTCCTTCTTTAGTACTCGTATGCTAGATTTACTGCCAGTTACTCACAAAATTCAACAAAATAAACTTCTGCCTAATCTGGCTTACAGGCTTTATGACTGAGATTCCATGCTGGATTACTGAGATTCCATGCTGGATTACTGAGATACGACTATATTGATACTACTGCCATGATAGCTTTATTCGACTCTTCTCTCATCATACACTCTAGTTCCCAATTGCACTCACAGGTGGCAGCGGTGTAGTTCCTGTCAGAATACTGTACTGCCTAAAGAGGTCTGCCGGTTTTGGTCCCATCATGAAGAAAACATCCACAATGCCACTCTCAGAGAAGAAGTGCACATCCATCTGGGGCATCTCGTCATCTCCCTTCACATATTGCAGTAGCTTGCCTACAATGTTCTGCAAAACAACAATCATCATTGGTCATCGATGCAACGATAGAACACCTGTCCTATGTCAGCAAGTATTCTACCACACTCCACCTACTCATCTATTCCCCTCCCACTTACACATTCACCTACTCATCTATTCCCCTCCCACTTACACATC